TGAATAGTGTGGTTTGCAGCTCTTTGCTTTACTGACCATAAACCACAGGGTTAAAATATAGTGCAAATAACAAAGTAAGAAGGGTTGTAAAACAGTGTTTTCACAGTGTCTTCCAACAGTTGTTATCAGAAGTAGCAGAAGGTGCAAACTCACTTGCAGTCCATGAATAATGATAGTTTTTCTGGCCTTTTAATTTTAACTATTGAAATGGCCATCATGTTTTTCTTCTCTGCAGAAGAGCCAATACCTAATTACAATGATGATCATAAGAACTACCATTAAAACAATTCCAGCTGTTCTGACAGAAGTAGCTCCAGGCAAAGCTGGCCAGAAGTTCTGTTTTGAATATATCTTGAGGTGTTTCTTTTCTGCCTTCTGTAAGTAACAGGCAAATAGTTTTAAGCTTTGTTGTAATCCAAGCACAAATRATGACTTGGTGTTTCACTGAGCACACTGGTGGTAAATACTGCAAAGATCAGCATATGCAGCAAGATACTGGTGAAGTGCCATCAAAGTAAAAGGTCTTCTGCCACTTGCTCCTTTGTACTCCAAACATTATCCAGATTACAAACTGTGGAGTTCTCACATTAAGAATTTGTACTGTTTAACAGACTGCACCAAGGTCACAGAAGAGGGAACAACTGAGCGGGTGATAGTACAGGAGGAAATACTGCACTTCTTTCCTCATATGAAAGCATTCAGCATTCTCAAACTATCTCTGGTATTAGCAACCTAAGTGAAGTAATAACAATGTAATCATCTGTTTAAATGAATGGTTTTTACTTCATTTTCTGTATGCACTGATACTGAGCATTTTCCCTCTGATGAATTACTAAACATGTTCAYGATATTTAAAGACAGGTCCCAGGTCCTGTAAAAGAAAGCATAACCCAAAGGTATGGTAATTTGTACAGTAAGTTTGATGCTATTTCTTCCCACACTTATGAGTGTGATGAGCAGCTATTCAGAATAAGACAGGCTTGTCTGCACACAAGAAGGATTTACTAGATTTATATTTACTAGAAAAACAAGGTACATTCCTGACTATCTATCTGGCCCTTAGTATGACACAATCTGTGCTGAATGTTTGCTTTCAAATATCCAAACAGATGTCAGTTATGAACAGTATTTTGAGGTGAAATTTTAGTCAGCAGAATATGATTTTTCATTTAAAGACATATTGACTTTGCCAGTTGTCACTAGCAAGTTAAAAAAACTCACATATAAAAAAAATCTAAACATAATTTTATGTGCACAAAATCTTTGGAACTATTCTGTTGCAAGCATCAGTTCTCCACTGAAGTTTAGCTGTCTCAGAAACTTGTATTTCTGATATTTCAATGCCTCCCCAATGTCTAACATTTTCTTAATTTCATATAAATGCAGAATCTTTTAAATACAATTTTAGATGCTGGGTTTACTTGAGGTAACTTTTAATTTATTTTTTATGTGATTTTCAGGCATCTTTAGATGCTTCCTGCATTTAACTAAAGTATGTATTACTGAGAAGACTGAATTTAATATTTGAGAACAGAGACAAGCACTGGGGAAAAAAAAACAAAAAAAAAGCACCCACAAAAAAAACCAAAAAACCAAAACGAAAACAAAACCATACACCAAAAAAAACCAAAACAACCCAACAACCCAAAAAAAACCCAAAAAAGATATTTCAGAGGCAAGGAGGATGCTGTAGATAAACTACAGAGTCTCAACTTTTTCTGTGTGACCATCAATTAAGAAACTACTTATAGATACAGATACTACAGTTTAARCACTTCCAAAGCAGTTGAATTATTTCAGAGCGTAAGTCCTGTTTACAAAAGTCATATAATAACCTTGACAGAAGCTTTCACTTTGCTCATGGCCAGCTGTCACTTAGCTATTAGCCATAGGCTTCCTCCTGACAAGGTTTCCAGGCTGCTTTGGAAAGCATGGTGACCTCATTTTCATTACAATGAAGACCAGCCTGTGTTGGCTGTTGGGTAAAACCAGGCCATAATACAGGTACTACATATAATTTCTGTCTTAACAAAACCCTACAGWAGATTTTCCATAGTTCCCCTACAGTTATCTTCTTCCAGACTATTTCTGAATACAACCAGCATATGGATAGAGCAGAGTCAGCATCTCTTACTGACTCTGCATGGCTCAAGAAGGTGACATAGAGTCTCCACAGATGTGTGTGGCCTTTGGGAACATGGAGAAGAGAAAAGCATTTAAAATTATTACATGAGCTGCAAAAACTCTGTGGAAAAATACAGAGTGTAGGAAGTTTATTTTGATGAATGTATCAGGGACAGATATTGCATGTGTATGAGCTTTTCACACACAAAAAAAAAAAAAAAGGAATATTAGTGTTCTTTCGTTTAAGCAAAAGGGCCCAGTGACTGCAGCTTACCTCCAAGGGGCTGAGTCACCAGTTCCTGTCAACTTGTTAACACTAACACATCACTTCAGAGTTATAGTTCCAAAGCTTCAAACTACTCCACACATGCCAGCTTCTGTTCTTACAGTGCAATCACTGAGCTTCAGTTCAGCAGTGTCAATACTGGTGTCTGGAGCTATTTTTAAAGTGCACTGCATTGTCACGAATGAGCCTTCTGGTCTCCTACTATAATCTGTTTAGCAAATGGAGCATTTAGCTACTCCAACCATATAAATATAAATATAAATATAAATATAAATATAAATATAAATATAAATATAAATATAAATATAAATATAAATATAAATATAAATATAAATATAAATATATAAATATATATGCATGATAGGCACTCAATATTCCTTTTATTGTGCAGAATGATTAATTCATTGAAAGGATGCATTAAATAAGCAGAAAACTTTGTTACAACTCACAGAATTGATGTAGAATTAAACCACTGARTCCTGTGGTTGTCAGGAGCCCTAGAAAGTCAATTTTATATGTGCATGTAAGGAAAGCTTTGCTTAGTCATTCATTTATCAGTTGGCCATTTCTTATGTATGGGCAGAACAGTGGTTAAAGGGTCTTCTCTGCAGTTAAGATCTGTATGCTGATTTAGATCAGTCCGCAAAGCATGTGGGAAAATTTTAATTTATGAATTTTTACTATTCTCGTAACTGAGTCATGGGGCCTGTTCACCCACAACACATGGAAGTCTTCATCTTGCAGATTTTCCAGTACTGCAAAAGCTTAAAAAATGTTAACACGGAGTTTGTTCAGAAGTGAAGCCTGTTTGTGCATCAGCAATGTTTCTACATGAAGTTAAAACTTCTTAGACTATCTATAACATTCTTTCATTTTGGCATTTACACAAAATAATAAACTCACTATATGTGTTATTTGTATTATTTAAGCTACGGCTAATGGACATTATAATGATAATATATTGATAAATAAATTAGGAAAGGTTTAAAGGAAATTAAAATCAGGTTACCACTCCCATCCATTTTATACTATCTTCTATTATTACAKTCATTGACTTTCAAAAGTCTGTTTCAATTTTGACTAAACATATTTGGAAATWTGTAATAATCTGAAAGCAATATTTAGTCACTGTGGAAACAAAAGGATTTTTAATACTTACATATTTAGTGGCTGAAATGGTCTGATAATGCAAATCAGAAAGAATACACACTCAGCAGAAGCAAACTCCCCCTTCTCAAGAGGGGCAGTCCAATTTGGCATCCAGGACCTTGTATTCACCAGCTGCTTACGCTGTGCTCAAAGTGTCCCTACTTCAGGAGCCTGGGGGACTTCCTGCAGCCAGGGGTGTTGCTGTGTGACAYGACAGGAGCTCCCCTTTCAGCACTGGTGGTAGCTGTGACAGGACTAACTCTCCTCTGGCTGCTGGCAGTACCTAAAACCCAGCAGCTATAGGGTGTCACACACCCTCCAACTACTTTGTGCTCCCCAAGAATGAGGGTCTCTTTRTTCTGACAACCCCATCATATCTAACAGCCCCATATGGATGTCCTAGGTAACTAAGGGTGTTTTGAAAGGCACTGGAAGCCTCCATTAGGGAAACTGAATTTCATCCCAAATAACACTGTATAAGCAGCTCTGATTCTGGCCTACTTCTAACTGTAATCCTGATATGAGAGAGACTTCAGACAAGGGGAAATGTGGGTTACAATGTGAGATGCTAGGAAGGCATCACTTGCTAACAGGTCAGACTGATGCTCAGATAAGGTGTTTCTAAACTATCTGTAATACCACAAAGCTGACTGAATCTAACTCTACTCTGAAAAAGCTATCCACATGATAACAGAAAATTAYGTATAATTCTGGCTAAGATAATGGACTCTTCTCCACTGAAGCCAAAARGTACTTCTGGTTTCAGATGGAAGGACTGGTTTAAGATGGAAGTGTGGGAATTGATGCTAAATGCCTTCTAGTCTGTTGCAGTTTTATTCYGACTCATGAAAAGAATTTTGTTAGCTACAGGTAAAATGTTAAGAAGATGGGACATACTCGCAAGTATTTTTGTTCTGTACCAATAATCTATTCCCAAATTTAGGAAGTATCATTTGGAGAAGTTTCACAATACAGAAAAGTATAGGAACATGGTGAACTTAAAGGACAAGAATGATGAAYTAAAACTAATTTAGAAGCAGGAGAATGTTATAGTTTCAAACCTGCTGAGGCAATATTTAAAGACAAATATGACTCAAATCTTAGGGTGTAGACTCACTGAAGAATATCAACAGTAATTTTCAAACGTGTCTTGCAGAGTTTAAATATAAAAGTAAATTTTCCAAAAATAATTTTCTTACTACTAAGAATAATAGTCTGGTGTATCCTCATTCTTTTGATGTTTAGGCKACTAAGCATAGTTTTAGTCTTTGAGTGTAAGAGAGATTCACATAGGGAATACATGATAGACTTTTATTTGGAAAACACAAATTTTTAAAACAGATATTACATCAATTTCAGCTGTACACTTATGCCTATCAAACTCTGATAATTAAAGGAATATGATGTGACTTGACTGTATATTCAAAGAAAGTTAACTTACCTTGTAGTTTGTCTGTGTTCAAATGGGAGTACTTATGGCATCTGTTTCCTTCCCTGTGTTGCTAAAATATTGCTCATTGTAAAAGAAGAAGCAAGAGAAATTAAAGAGAAGCTAAAATAGAGAAGTTACTTGAAAACCCAAATGTCTAGAAATGTCATTACATATTTAGAATGTGAGTCCTTCTAGAGGAATTTACATGCTGGCATCTTTTATGCCCTCACAGACTGAAAACAGTAATACCAATAGATAGAAATATTGTAATAAATATAATGACCTCACAGCTATCATAGATTTACCTTGGGCTAAAATTTTATAGAAACAGAAAAATTAAYAAAACTCAGATCCCTTTACTTAGAAAGTAATTCTCCTAATGAATTAGTTGTGGTAAACAGAATACCTGTTAATAGTCTATGACATATTGTATGCAATTTAGCTACTCTGATTCACAGAAAAAGGAACACATACAGTCATTGGCCTTTTTTGTTGTTATTTGGGGATATTTTATCACTCTGTCAATACTCTTTGGGTTCACAATATGTTTTCTAGCATTCCTCTCTGAAGACATTATGAAAATCCTTCCACCCAGTGGAATAGGAAAAAAAAATATTTGAAATTTTTATATAGCATGAATTACATAAACTATTTAATTGYATGTAGTTCACTTCAGCTGTCCCTTCAGTCAACTTAAACAGCTCAAAAGCAAGACTTCAAAGCTGTTTCAAAATTTTTAAAGAAATGCCTAAAATATTTTAGAAATARAAGATTTTAAAATGCTTTAATAATATCAGAATATTAGAAGCAATATGAGAAGAAATAGGGACTAGAATAGCACACGGGAAATATATTGATTTTACAAGGTCAATACTTAGTAAGGTAAGTATTGATAAGCAAGGTGAAGGGTGTGATTGGGCAAACATACCTCCTTTTATATCAGCACTAYCCATTCTCACTGCTTATTACTCGATTCTGCATCTGAGATTGAATCACTGCTGCTTTTATGGAGTCCTATGGTSTTCCAGGCCAGGATCAAGAGACCATCTTCTACATGCTGTAGAAACAGATATATATGAATAACTATGTAACTGAAAAAATAACCTACCTGTAATGAAAAATCATTCCTGGGACTTTCTTCATCACTTTTGAGAATCTCAAATGTACACAGTTAATTTTAACTGTGGAAACATAAGTAGCCTGGAAACCTTGGGTAAAACAACCAAAAAACCTCCATATTTTTCATGCAAACTTTGGTCCCAAGCCTTCGAATGACAACAGCCTTTCCCCCCAAAGTAGCTGTTGATAACAGTCCTAAATAGATACTGCAAGCTGGTATCCCAGGTAGAACACAGCAGCAACCAGGGGTATCTGCACCAGTACATTTTGTGTGATGGCATGGACACTAGAAAAATGTGTCTCCCATCTTCTCTGACTTGTCCTTGAAAGTTCCTCCTTTGCTCCAACCACCAGAGATCAGCAGGAAGAATTTCCTTTGGTTCTTCATGTTGAGTGAACCTTGCAGCTGTCTCCATGCACAAGTATCTGATGAATCTGACTTACATTGCTACAACCCACTGMATTTTGTTGATACTTCTCAGACTTAAAGGGCTTGTGACTTAAAAGGGGCTGTAACATGCTTTCAGCAATACCACAGTGGGCTTGCTGGCTTTGTGCTTTTTTTTTTAATGTAATTGTATGGAACTGAGGTAATAAAATTTTTCTGGTTGATAGAACAGATAGAACACATCTGAGAAGCTATATTGTTGCTGTTTCTGAGAGAAAAAAACAAGTAGGCAATATGCTGCTTCTCAGCAGAGAGGAGGCCCTGYTCTTTCAGGTTATTGTCCAACTGAAGATTCTCAGGATACCATGACTACAAGCCAGGCTCTCTTGGTGATGATGAACAAAGACTGCAAAACTGGTAAGGAAAGTGGCAGCAACACACAGCCATCTTACAGCTAACATCCTACAAAAAGCAAATTAGTTGATGGGTCTGTACTCAGGCAGTGAGCAGGGCTTTTCACACTACAGGGCATTTGGGGTGTGCTGTAATTGGGGTTTGGTAGGTGTGCAGCAAATTCAGGAAGTGCAATTTGCACCTCCTGGTGCCAGAAACAGAATGAGTCAGATCTTTAAAGCTTCAATTTCAGCTTTGCTTCTGCCTCCTCATTGTTCTGACTAATRCAATGATTTCATACCCAGCTAAGTATGGTAAAAGCCAGCTGCATGKCCTCTAGGTTAGAGCCAGCTCATGCTGGCGTCAAAGCTAAAAGACTCCCACAGATTTCAGGGGAACAGCAGCAGGTCATTCCAGCTACCTGTAAGCGAAGTTATTAACTGCACTAGGAAACACACAAATCAAGATACATTTAACAACGCAACAAACTGCATCAGAAGTCATTAGCATCTCAATTTTTAGGTGTCAATTTGAAATATCTAAAGAGATCAAAAGTTCAGAAAGAACAAAGCAGGACATAAGACTTCTAAAATATTAAAAAGCCTAGTAACCTTCCAAACAAGAAACTTAAAGTAGGCAGCAACTTTAAATACAGCTCTCAAAACATAAGGGAAAAAAAACCTCTAGAAAAATGCTCTATACGGTTTCAGCCCCAGATGTGCCCCAGTTACAGCACATCCCACATGCATGTGCTGTGAAAAGTCCTGGTAACTGCCTCAGCACAAACTCATCTAACACTGCAGGATCAGCGTCATCTGTTAACTTGGTATGACCTTGGTCCTGGATAATGGGCAGTATTGAAATCTGTGTCATTCATGAGGCTCTATACACCCACTGGCACTCTTCATAGTCACTGTACACATTTACAGAACACACGCTTCTTTCCAATTTATTTCATTATTTACTAAAAGTATTTTAAAAACCATTTTTTATCAATGGGTAGGAGGCTTTTTCCTTCTGGTTGTAAATTAATTTAGTAATTCGTGAAGAACACCAAGGGTRAAATTAGTTTAAATAATGTAACATTTGAAAGATCTAGTAGCAGTTTTCTATCCCTGTGTTCTCCCACTGGAACCACAACTTGGCAATGCGTGTGATAACTGTTTTTCCTTCTGATCTTGTGTAAGCCAAAACCTTGGTCTGACAAATGATATTGTGAGAGCAGTTATCTAAAACTGCCTGGAGCTYTGGCAGAATCAGGCCAAGGGCCTTGATACTAACCCTGCAAAAGGTTTGCAGTTGGCTATTGGCAGAGTAAGATTAGATTTGGTTCTGTAAAACTGTTGTAACTGTGGAAAATGAAGACTTCATTGTTTAGTAGTGTTCGTAGTTAGCCCACATCATTTTTTTCTCAAAAGGTGAGGATAAGGTCAGTGGTGAGACCCAGAAGCTTCCCCACCTCTCTAGAAGAACTGCAGGGAGAAAGACCAGGGTAATTTGACACAGAGGTCAGATTTTCCATGTACTTGCTGTACAGTATACTCTAGTCTCAGAATAGTGCAGCTGACAGCTAGGATCCCTCCTTTCTAACAGATGTCAGGTGTATTTCAATAAATATCGAAACCATGGATAGCTTTCTGAGCCTGATGTGAAACGCAGAGATTCTAAGGTTTCCTGCACGCAATTTGTAACCTCCTTAGAGGCCCTGATTATCAGTCTTGCCAGCCTATCAAGTACTACCCGCTTTTTGGGTCAAAGAGTCATCAAAATGGGGTCAGAGGACGAGCTCATTATTTCCTGTCTTCTCAGCAGTCTGCTCCCAGTGTGYTTCTTGGCTCCTCTGTGACGCACATGGCATTGTTTGTGAAACAATGTCATGTTTTAATGATTTGCAAAGTACTATGAATCGTGCATATTGAAGATACTCAGCAAGAATTAACAGCTGCTATTTAGTGCAGCAAAGTTTTATAGAATTTCAAGGATATAGACTAATTAGGTGCTGAACAATAAGCCCCCATTACAGTGGTCTTACTTAAATTGCTCATCAAAACCAATACACTGGCAAAAGCATGAGAAAAATGTAAGATTTAAAATGTATATTTAATCTAATTTGCTACATGTGAAGTAGCATATCTTCAGATGGATCTCAGTAAAAACACATAAAATAAATATTAAAAAAAATCTTGCCAAATAATTAAATTTCAGAACCCGTAAGGCGTCTGAGCCCAGCGTGACCCGCTGTCACCGCGCTGGTGTCACTGGCGTCATTCCTGCCCCGCACCGCCCGGTGTGTCACATCAGCACCTGGCGTACCCTGCGGAGCWGCTCCTCCTGCCCGGCACGAACGGCGGCCCGAGGTGTTCCCGGTTCCAGCTCCGGCAGGGCCCGGGCGCAGCCGGGACACGGCGCCTCCCGGAGCAGCCCCGCCTGAGGGGCCCGGCCGCTGCGCCACGGCGCCCCCTGGCGTGGCGGGTCCGCCACGGCGCCTCCCGGCCCCGCGTCCTGAGGGAGCCCCGGCCCCAGGGCGGGATGGCGGCGAGCACTGTCCCCACAGCGGCCCCACAGCGGCCCCACAGCGGCCCCACAGTGGCCCCACAGCGGCCCCACAGCGGCCTCACAGGGAGCACCGTCCCCATACCGGTCCGCAGGCAGCACAGTCCCCACAGCGGCCCCCGGGGAGCGCCGTCCTCACACCGGGATGGCGGGAAAAGGGGCTGCCGGAGGCGCTGGAACATTATTATTTTTAGGGACAGTAAAACCTTGTGGTGACTGCTCCTTGCAGGAAGCCTCATTAAAACTAATTATAGCTCCTCATTACGGCCGCATTACATTTCTGTTAAGAAATACATTAAAAGATACGAAGTGGCAGAAATGTCAGTTCGGTAATGACATAAAATGAACAAACCACGCCTTTTTAAATAAAACCTTGAGAAAAGGGTCTGCAGTATTTAACCTAAAAGATAGTGCACCTGGTAGGCAGAAATCATCATCATCCCAGTGTAACGAGAACATTAACATTTCAGAGCATGAACAAAAAGTGYTTCTAAAACAATGTTTGTGGAGGTTAACATTAATTTCCTTCCTTAATACATGATAAAGTTGTATTAAAAYCATATTTGAATTCTGTGTTAATGCATCTCCACAGATGACCAACTGATTTAAATTAGAGAACGTTTATTGACTAGTTTGTTTCTCCCATTGCAGCCGCTGCAGCAGCAGGGCCAGCACGTCCAACATCAGCCTGGGCCTCTGGCAGCACTGGCCACTGGAGCTGAGTCCATTTTCAAACCATGAACAGCTGGCTCGAATTAACGCCTGGGAGCCCACACCCTCACTCTCCCTCAAATAACAATGCTTATTACATTTTTATTACACTGAAAGGAATAAGCGTTTGGGAAAACAACCAGCRTCTACAGGGTGGTGTGAGGGAGGACATTACGATATTATCCTGTGCAGCAATCTCTTTCTTCTCTCTCTCCATTTGATAATAAAAACTGTGACCAGACAAATGTCCCTTTCACACTTTGCTCCTCTGCTTTTTGTTCTCTGTCACTCTCCCTAAAACAACACAAACTAATTGAGCCATTAATAGTTTGTCAGATTCCAGAGTCTGGGGTGTATTTTTGCCAGCCTATCTGTATCCGAATGGAAGTGCAGAGCTGGTGTGGCAGCCACAGATGCATGAGAGGTCCCATACATCCCTCCAGCTCCTCTCATGCTGAGGAGAGTTCTGGGTATGGATAGGAGGCCATACTGACATTTCCGCCATCACTTCTGTGTCATCTCTCAGCACACTGTTCCACCCCCCTCTCTAAGTTTCTTTGCTACATAAAGCAATTACAACTGGAGCTGACTCATTACACCACAGTCCTTGGAGTCACTGCCTCATGCAAGAAAATAAAAGCTCTCCCTCTTTGCTATGAGATCCACTTTCTGCTGGTATTTGAGTGAAACAGTGGCAACCCAGAACTGTCACCCAACACTCAAGCAGCTTTGTAACCCCGTAGTGACT